AGTTACTATCAGAAAAATCTTCAACACGTTTTGGCTAGAATCTAGCTTATTGTTAATTGTATGGTTTGTTAATTAATAGGTGTTAACTGGAGACCTATTATCTAGATAGTTCTATCTGTATATTTGATTCGGGGGTACTCAACTGTCATTCAACCTCTGTACTAGGTATTTTCGTGTACTGTGGTTTGTTAGTCTTTTTGTCGGCGCAGCAGTCGATCCAGAGTTCGACTCCGTCAGACCTGAAAGTTAAATTCAATACAGGCAACTGCCAATTTTTGCTTGAAATTGACTGAATCGCGGAATTTAAATCTATATTTTGACCGATTTCAGCGCTTATTAGGCCTATTTTTATGTAAATTATGAGTTGAAGGCCTATATCACTGTACAGTAGATTAATATGTTGTGCATTTGTGCATACTTGCTTTTTTTGCCATATTCGACATGAATTTTTCCAGTTTGTTTACGCCGACTGGTTGTGCTTTATACCACTTTTGAGATATTGACATGTTGGTGTTGGTCGATATATAAAACGGACTGGCGTCTAAGCAATATGTCGCTGGCCGGTGTTGTTTGTACAGGTTGTAGGCGACGACGGGACAGCGGAGGGGTTTTCGGGAGTAGACCATGCCCGTGGGGGTAGTGCCCTAACACTTCTTGGGTTGGAACCTAGTCTGGTTTTGGTTTGGCGTTCATTGTATTGCAAATAATTGTCATTTCCGGAGTCTAGCGCACGCCCACATCACCCCATTTCATTTCGTGATGTTCCCTAATGCCCCGCATTCCGAAATGTATGGTGTTGTTGAACCAGACGGTTCGTAAAAGGGATTCAGGGTTGTCATTAACCAGCTGACATTGCTTCGTATAATTTGTTGATGTCTTCATCAGAAATAGGATCAGCTTTATTTTCTAAATTTCCCCTCCCACTACTTTTCATTTTTTTTTTTTTTGTGTTGATGATTTCTGTCACTTTTTTTGAAATTCTTTATTTTTTCGAAATTTGAAAACTGTAATCATTACATTTTAGGTGCCTGTCACTACTGCATGAAAATCCCCTAATAGTACTAGGTTCTAGATCTTTTCCATCCTTTCCTTTCACATTCCCGAAAAATATGCAAAGAAGTTTGCATAGTTCCTGAGGTGGTATTTGTATGATTAGCCATGCCTCCTTGAGGTTTAGGCAGAGAAATTCTGACAGCTTGTTCAAGTCAATTGCGGTCTTTTTCTGTGTGTTCCTGTTCTGTTCATCTCAAATGAATTTATCTATATCAATATTGATGAGTTCGTTTTTGTACCATTCTTAGTAACATTTGATCCGGGTAACAGTCGTATTATGACTCTATATACTCGGTAGGTGGAATAAATGTAACGCGGAATTTGAAAAATTCAACAGATCTTTTGATAATTTTGAACATCCTCTTCTCAAAAATGTTTCTTCTATTATGAAGAGATCATGAAAAGCTGCATTCAACGAACAGTAGTAATATAATCATCTCTTGTAATTAAGGAATTGCAGAGAAAGAACAGCCTTAGGAATGCAATTCTTGAAGTTCTAACTCTACACCGCGTAAAGCAAGTGTTGGGTTAGTCATTCTTAAGTTAAAACCTTTTTGATGTACCTTATGTTAGGGAACGATGCTACATGTATTAGACATTTATGTGAGTTGTATTCCTAATTCATTACACCTCGTTTGGATTCTTCTCCTCTTTAATATATTAAAATAAGAAGAAAAGGTACAAAGCAAAACATTTATGTCAACAGCGCGTGTTTGATTGCACTGTATGTTATAAGTTGTGACTTATGTGGAACCCCTGACTGTTGAATCAGACGTTCCGTGTTGTACACACGCCTTGGTTACATCGAGAAACCAAATTTGTTCTGTCCCAGTCACACACGCTCACCCCATTTTCTATATCTTTGTTTTCCCCCTCTACGATACTTTCGTTAGCTTGTTGACAGATGAAAACTGGATGACATAGCATATGTGTGTATCTGTGTATATTTAATCATACGTCCGTAAAGTCAAGTTTATATTTCACCATTTATTTGTGTCGGTAAGCTTGAATTAGTGTGTCACAAGTTTAATAATGAGGCGTAACGATTGGACCAGACTATCACAGAGGACAAGGGACTATTTCGGCCATACCGCCTAACACTGCTCGTATGCACAACTCTTCATCATATACTAATTCAATGCTTCCGATTGCCTAACACACTTACTGCTAGACTTCTCTGTCTGTTGATCAGAATTAAAAATAACTATTTTCTGTATCGTTCTTATTTTCAAAAACTAAAAGTAAACGGGAGATTTCCTTAATGGAAATTAGTGCCTTTTATAATAATCTACGTCAGTTAATCGCTTGTTCTACCTGTTTATGCATAATACTGTACTTCAAGCATCTTATTGACAGTAAAACACAAAGACGGATGTGAATTAAAGCAGTAGTTTTTCTGCTCATAACAATCTATCCCAAGTACCAAATATTTAAATAGTTTCCCTATTGGTCATAACCAACAGAGAAACTGACCGTTTCTTTTGGCATTTAATACCACTGATAGGTTTGAAATGGACAAAATGACTAAAAGACACTGTGGAAGTGTTTGCTGGCTTTCTGTTTTGACTTTAACTTTTAAATTGCTGTATCTTTGCCTTGCATTTATTGTGACTATTACACAGCATGACGTTCAACAAAGGGAAACTGTATCAAACACATCTTACGTCTTGAAATCGTTGTTCCGTTGTTTCGCTGGAGTTCATTTTTAGTTTATTTCACAATCGATCCAATAGCATCAGTGTTTCTATGCATTAATAGAGTTAACATACGGAGACACTCTTTGAGTGTGTCCTCTTTGGTGGAAGTCTCGAATCCAAGTTGAAATCCTCCATTTACAGTGTCGTCATAAATTGCCCTTTTGACTTGAGTTGTGCAATTTGCAACAATCGTCCAGAGAAGTACATATAAAAGGCAATTATGATGCACCCGATCTCTGATGACAATAAGGAACCTTGACACTGTGGTGTTTTCCTATATATAATTACCTCCCCTAAATTCCGTTTGAATATAACTGTAGTATCGTTCGACCAGGGAGCTTTTGTAGACTAGGAACGTTTGTAGCTCAATCGGTTTCACACTCAGAACATTGTTGTTTATTGTATTTCGTTCATTTCAAATTTAAGGATCCCTGTACCACCTCCTAAAACTGCTTTAGAAACTGTTCCTTCTGACAGGATTCTAGCTTTGAAAAAAATAATCTCTTAAAGAAAACCATACCTTGTTTGACATTGATGAAAAAATATCAAGTTGAAAGAAACTTAACATAATTAACAACAATATTATAAAAGCAAAGAAATTGTTGAACTAGACCGAATTCTTACCTACTGAGCTTTCTCGTCAACGGAAGTTTCCTTGCCATTCTGTGCTTCAGTTTTATAATAAGGAAATAACGAGAAAGTAACGGTGTATATGAATAACAAGATTGCAGTGGGACGGGGATATCGAAGCGTTGGAAAATATGTAGATTGTACAATATGTAAGAGGAAGACGAGAAATTAAAACAAATGACGAAGAAATGAATAAAGTTTTAGTTACAATTATATATAGGATCTTACATGAGTTTCCATTTCATATGAGATTTATGTAACGAGTCTAAGAATTTTTCAATTACGCGCGCCTCTGGCGAGCTAAAATGAAAAATTCGTGACGAGTTTCATAAATTTGATATGTAATAAAATCGAGTAAAACGACAATTTTCATGCAAACTTGAAATGTAAAAAGCCGCCATTTTTACTCTAGTACGTCAGTTTGTGACGTCATGTACTTGTCCTTGGCGTGACGTCACAATTGAAACAATTGAAACGTACAACAAATCACAGGGCTGATAGGTCATAGTACATGGGTTAATACGCAAAAAAAATGTCACTAGTATATTCACTGGATAACACAGTACATTGTGTGATAAAAATGTTTACGTGACAAACTGGATGGAATGTTGGCAGAAATTAACATACTTTTCTTAAATCAATCTAGGCTTTGAAGCCGGGTGTCGCATCTCTGTAATCGTTAAAGGACGAGAAGTCATACAAGCGATTGGTCACTTCTTTTGTTTACTTTGGGACTACTCAAATAGCTAACTGTGTGCTTTCAATATTTGTATGACAAATCCAAGTGTGCAGAGAGCGAAAGTGAGCGCGTGTCACAAGTAGACGTCATCAGCGGGGAAGCCTGGGCTGATACTTTTGAGGTAAGACAAAAAAAATGAAAAAATTGTCATTACTCCTGTTACGAAATTCGGTAGCGATGTGGTAATCATTTTCATATTGTATATACATGTAAGTCATAGCAGCTGCTAATGATCATTGTACTGGATGAGATATGACATATATCATAGAATTGAGTTGTGATGTTGTCATCTGTATCAAAGGGAAGGGAAAGTAAAAAAAAAAAAAAAGAACTATGCAGTCTATCCGACCTAATTTTATTTATAGCATTTTGGTGGATTTCTTACTCCCTGAGGTTTCCACAGCAGTTTGGACCAATTTAGATTTCTAACTTTTCGTCCCCTAACATCACCGATGAGTCCTAGAAGGACGAAACAGCAGTATGGTGTAATGTAATTTATTGTAGGCATACTGTATAAGTTACCAATTTTTATAGGTGCAGTCCCGTGTGTGTTTCCTAGTACAGGTTTATGCTTGAGTGTGTTCATGAATTAACAGATCATTGTTATGAACCTGTCAATACTTAACTCGCTGAAATCTTTTAATATAAAATGTAACAGAGAGTGGTTCATCACCACTTATAAAACAATACACAAAACGTCAAAATACCCTTAAGACATATTATATTTATAAAGACACCGATCAGTATATATACCATTTACGAATAACCTTTTTCTATTACGTCAATGGTACACTTTCATTAAATGATTCAAAATATAAAATAGGAATTTTAAACATCATTTACAGTCTCAAGAACAGAGAAACCAAAACATTTTATAAAAAAGTAATGTGTTAAAACAGCAAGGAACCTAGTGAAATATGTGTTTATTTTAACAAAGTCATTTGATATTCATCAGAAATCATTATTGTTAAAATTGTTGGTAAAGAAGTAATATAACAATAAGCAAAGTCTATGCACGCCCCCTCCAACACAGATATAAAGGGAGGTAAGTCTTACAGGACAGACTGTGGAATATAAACTTTATATGAGTAGAGAGGCTACCAGCCCAAACGTTTTATTGAGTAATTCCAAGCTGCATTTTACTACTAGTTTTCCTCCCCCTAATTTAGAACTCTAGAATCAGACATCATAGTGATCAAAATTATCAGAGTTTATTTTTATTTTTTCTTGATTATTCATAGATAAAAATAATATAAATCAGACAGCATTCCAAAGTTTACGATATCGATGTAATGACACCCGGTATCATCGTTTTATTTATAGTTTCTGTTTCTCCTCCTCCCTTTCACCCCTCCCCCTCCCAGCCCGTGTCACAACCATTATATGTTAAATCAGTATTGTTAAAATTGTTGGTAAAGAAGTAATATGGCTAACGGCAAAGCCTATGCACGCCATCCTACACAGATATAAAGGAGGTAAGACTTACACGACAGACTGTAGAATATGAAACAGTCTGTATATTAGTAGACGGACTAATAGCCAAAATATTTATGAGTGTTCCTAGCTGCATGTTACTACTTGCTTATCTATCCCATTTTTAGAACTCTAAAATAAGACATCATAGTGATCAGCGTTATCAAAGTGGTTTTTTTTTTACTTTATAATTTAATATTCTAAAGACGGGGGCCAGTTTAGTATATTAATAGATAACATTAATTTAAATCAGACAGCATTCCAAAGTTGACGATATCGATGTACTGACACCCGGTATCATTGTTATATTTATAGTTTCTGTTTCTCCTCCTCCCTTTCACCCCCTCCCCCCTCCCAGCCCGTGTCACAACCATTATATGGTAACAATGACGTGTCTGTGTCTATGATAGGACAATGAGGTAACGCAAAGTGGATGTCTCCACAACAGGTCGTTATTTCACAATGTGTTTACTCGGTAACTAGGAGTAATGATGGATTACCCAAACACGCCATGTTATGCTCTACCTAACTACCATTGTTTGTAACTAAAGGTGAATGCTATATAGAGTGTTTGTAATATGTTCTTTTTTTGTACCCGTTTCAAAATCGTCCTTGTAAACTGGTGTATAACTATACTATAGGACAATGAGCACGTGTGCATTGCTAATACGCGAACTTGAATCGTCAAATACGTTAACAAATGGAGGTTTACCTTATACGACCGACAAAATCTTTAAAAGATCTTTAAATCGGAACGACGTTTCTTTAGTCAATAAAAGCTGTTAAATTTAAAAAAAACTTATTAATGAGGCATTCACACAAACGTGTACATTCTTTTGATAACTTTGGTGTCTTTATAGGGAGTTTTAAACGAACGGCAATATTAAAGGTGTTTTAAAAAGAAAAAGGCGCAACAATATTCTTAAATAGATAATGGTAGGATTTCTAGACTTTAAGGTCATGAAATCCTTTATTTATCGAAGAAAACGCTTAATGTTTAACTATTGGACGATTTAGTCGCAAATAAAGATGCCGAGGTCCTGTGATCATAGCTGCAATGTTTTCAATAACGTTATAGGTGCATTGCCATGTTTACATGATAAAAGTGGCTAAAAACGTATCTGGGAGGGTAAGAACAGTGATTGAATTGCAGTTTGAAGGATTAGTGTATATTGAGTGATAGTGTTGAACCAGTTCAGGGTTATATCATTAACAAACACAAGCATATCTAAAAATATTGTTTATTAGTTCTAACCAAAATGTGAAATATAAATTGAATTGTTGATGCATGAAAAAAAAGCAAAAATAAAAAAAACACTGTATTGATAAATACCACGTATGTATAACTTAATCTCTACCATGTCTGCGATATAACGACACTTTTCATTAGTTATAACCACACAATATTGGACGATAAAATATGAGCATTCATATATTATTTTAAACTACCTCATTCATCCCTGAAGACACATTTGAACTCTTCCAATTCAAAGGATGGAATAGTTCAAAATGAAATTTCAGAGGCGAATGAGTTAACCATGCATGTCCAACAATCAAAACTTCCTCCCCAGCTCTGCAGGAATGGGTTTCTTTTGTCGAGTGATGCTAAACGCAGATGTACATGTAACATATATTGTGCTAACAAAAAAGAATACATTTAACCAAGTTTGCAGTCAGAATGTTCCACTTAACTTGTTAGGAATTGTACTCGAAAACGTGTTCGTAAGTTTAAGAGTGATAGCACAGTTAATTCTCTGTGGAATCGAGAAACCAAATGGCAACTGCAAGCGTAACTTGCGGGATTTTCATACCCAAATATAGGAGACTCAGAAACTTCACTCAACTTGGTCAGAGTGATAGGGCAAGCTCAGGAAGCGGGAACGATGTTTCTTCTTTGATAAATAGCATTTCTAGTAAATTAATGATAAATAAACAAATAATAAGGCACGCATCATCTTTCCCAAATGTATCTTAATTTCAAACGTAGCAGGCAAAAAAAAGCAACAAGCTCACAACATCAAAAAGGATAAAAACGCGAAACTTGTTAAATACATAGATAAAGAGCGTGGATATAGGGTTAATACGAAAACACATTTTCATTACAAAGTACTTGGTAGAATAGATATAATCTACAATTGTTATTTATAAAAATTGTAAAATATGTAAATCTAAAATATTTTGACAAAAATCACTCGGGCTTAAACGGACTTATTTAATATTAGTTTCAGCCGTTTCTTCACTTCAACAAGATTGAGGTTGAACTCAATATGTTTGAGGTGGGCCTCCATATGCTGGTTGTGGCTGTGGATATGGTTGAGGTTGTCCCCCATACTGTGGAGGAGGAGGATAAGCCGGCTGGGGATAGGCTCCGTACGGCTGTTGTTGCATTTGCTGTTGGTTGGCAGTGTTAACTATAAAAAACATAATGAATGTCTAGTAAGTAAGACTGAAACGGTTTTCTGGTATGAATACATGTACAAATGTTTGTGTATATCTATGTACATTTATCAGTATAAGAATCATTTACTGCCATATCTAGAAGTATACTACATAATTTGAAATGTTCTTTGGTATGTTCTTTAGTGGTTTGAAGCGATTGTTTCGTGCAACAACCTTTCATGGATACCCCTTACAAACAGTAGTGAACTATGTCAGTCGAATTCGTTGTATTATTTATTTTCCTGGTTCCATAGCATTCGAATGTTTATTGTATATTAGAGATTAATGTTAAACATGTATATAACGATATTCAAATGTGTAAAGCTATAGTATATATTAGCAGAGAACTAACAAATTCCATTCTCTCTATCTGTTCCAAAATGATAAACGAGATTATGTATTTTGCTTAATTTTGCATAATATGTATAACAGAGAATTCAAAATAAGTACTGATATTTCTGCGAATTCATTCATGCCTACCACAAATGTATCCCCTTATAATTCCACTTACCGACCGTGACGTTTCCGGGTCCACCAGTTTGCCCTGCGACAATAACACCAGTCCTTTTCTTGTTACAGGACTTGATGACGATGATAAAGACGACGATACAGACGATGAAGATAATACAGCCAATGACTGCTCCGACAATGGTACCAACTCTATGAAAGTATAAACATGATTTGAACAGATATATCATTAATTGAAAGTAATATATTATATCTATTTTTAATAATACATTTATATATATATACATATCTGGAGAAACATAAATTATCACACTGTACAGTTGATACTCGGACCAGGTGATTATATAAGATCTTACACGGTTTTTACACGAGACTTACATGTATATTCGATATGAAATCTGATACTTACGGTGAAGCACAGCATTCCTGGGCATAATAATAGCCACAGCATCCATTGTCACATTCGATGTAGTAGTCGTAGCCGGAGCTGTAGTATAGTGTTGCAATACATGATTCAGCAGTCACACCTGTGTTAATGAGAGGAAACGAGGAACACATACCATTCAAACAGATTCATTACTACATGTATATACCACAGTGATACGTCAACCATATATCATGTTTGATACGTCAACAGCGATACAGTGTACGTCCTCTACACTTCATCATAGGTACTGACCACAATGATTCCGTCAGAGTTTACACCGCAACATCATACGTACTGACCACAATTATTCCGTCAGAGTTTACACAGCAACATCATACGTACTGACCACAATGATACCGAGAGAGTCTACCATGCAACATCACACTTACTGACCACAATGATACCGTCAGAGTTTACACCGAAACATCACACTTACTGACCACAACGATACCGAGAGTCTACCATGCAACATCACACTTACTGACCACAATGATACCGTCAGAGTTTACACCGCAACATCACACTTACTGACCACAATGATACCGTTGATAGTCTACCATGCAACATCATACGTACTGGCCAAAATGATACCGTGAGATTCTACCATGCAACATAATTGATATTGACCACTTTGATACCCTGTGAGTCTCCAACGCAACATTATTGGTATTGACCACGACTATTACGTGTAAGTCTACAACGCAGCATCATTGATATTGACCGTAATGATACCGTCAGAGTCTACCATGCAACATCATTGATATTGACCGTAATGATACCGTGAGAGTCTACAACGCAACATCATAGGTACATGTACTGACCGTAATGTTTCCATGATAGTCTACACACCATATCATTGATAGAGCACATCAGTTTATCGTGTTGTTATATATATTTACACATCTGGACCATGGCTATTGACCACCATGATACTATTTAAGACCATAATAGAAAACATTATTGATAGAAAGCATCAGAATAATGTGGTGTAAGTCCTTCACACATCACAATGGATACTGCAGTATTGATACCATAAAAGTCCACAAAACAACACTGATACTTACCACATATGCGTACACTTTAACTGCATTATACCATGCCATATATAGATGCATTAAAATGCTGTGTGCACAATGCACCAATATTGATCCCACAACATATTTCAAAGTGAGCATGAGGAAACTGTATTCATTCATCAAACACATACTGCATATGCCAGTAAATTACATAAAACTAAGGAAAAATCGTACGTGTTGACGTCCTGATGGCTAGTTTAGTTTAAGTTCGTTTGTTTTTGACAGTTTATTACAGTTCTAACGATTTATAGACAAACACCTTAATAACCTGCCGTTTTATTATGTGATAATGGTGTATGTAGTTAAACTGTGCGAGGAAGATTTGTTCGACATTGTTAAATTTGTCAATGTCATATGAACAAAAACAGTCAAGTGTGTACAGGCTACTGGTATGACTCAGTGTCTTATGATAAACACCAGTCAAGTGTGTACAGGCTACTGGTATGACTCCGTGACTTATGATAAACACCAGTCAAGTGTGTACAGGCTACTGGTATGACTC